TCGGGTAGTCGGATTATAGTTGCCTGTTAAGTTTAGATTGAGATACCGAATTTTGTTAGCAATGTAGAAGGCACAGAACATACAAAAATTATAAATTTAATATGCACAAACGCTAAAACATTATGCAGATGCAGAAGCTCTGGAAGTAGCGTACACGCGTATAACTGCTATACAGCACGCCAAACCGGTTGACCGTCCCGTGCGATGACGTCATTGCATTACCAGGCCTGAGACAAATATTCGCGTTTGGTTATTGGTTTAAATTGAGATAAGTTATTTCTGAAGAAGAGCGACATGTCTCTCGAAATGGGTATTTTAAGAACCTAATAAAGAATTGCTTATCAATTTTTTTCTTTTTAAACTGCTAATGTTAATTTCAAAAGAATAGCTCCTTTGAAATGTCCTGATGGGGGCGCCTATGGAAAAATTTTAATACAAATTTACCAAATAATTCATCTAGTTGTAAAATTCGGATCTTGTGCTATTTGATGACGAAACCACTGTCAAAATTCCACATGAGGCTGAAAACCATTGTTATTTAATACCTGAACCTGAATACGTGATAGGGGTGTAATAATTGTTCCCGTATTACACGCCACACGGTGTTGTTAGTTAGATACACCCACTTCTTTATCAATGTCGCGAGTACTGCGCCTCGGATCTTCCTCAACGAGGTTTATGATGTTTTCTTCCTTGTCGAAAACATGTTGTGGCGATTCCCGTCCGCGACATTCATATGTCAGGTGGATATTCCTGATATCCCGTAACGTTTGAACTGCCTTTTGCCCTGTTCTACTGTTAGGTTGTCGTCTGTTACGGTAACGGACCGCCAGTGGCGTGCCAAGGTCTTCGGGGCCCCCCCGCAATTTTTTTCAAGGGGCCCCCCTCTACATCAAAAAAATGAATATACTGCCTATACTGGGTGACAACGAAACTACTGTCTGCGGTGATATTTCAAATCGGTTTATAGATAGAAAAAATTTGGTGTGACCTCACCTTTATATTTTGATTTTTTTTCTTTCGACTTTTTGAAGAATAAGAATTCTAATTAATAAAATTCATATTTCATAGCGTCATAAACGTACCAAATTCCAGCGATAGTATATGGCTAATATGAGTTCTGGTTTAGGTTTGGAAAATTACAGAACATAACATTATAACTTTATTTAATAAACATTACTAACACAAAATTGTAACAAAATAAAACATTTATAACTAACACAAAAATAATCCTTTTAATATAACAAAAATAAACAAATAAAACACATTAACTCTAAAAATATTATTATGATTTGAATCGCATTTCAGACTTTTTTAAATATAGAAAAAACTATTTTCTTGTGTGTAAAGCAACATATTTATTAACTATTTGGTCTAAGTCATTCACCCATTGTCGATCTTTCAAAACTTTTTATTAGTTTCAGTTTTGAAAATGTTCGTTCTGCTTGAGCCGATGTAACAGGCAGTACTAGAAACAACTGAAATGCGGTGCAAATCTCAGGTACACTACTAATCAATAATTGACTTTTTTCGAAAATAAAATCAGAAAATTCCCGAATACTGTTCAAATTTTGCAGGCTAACATAAAAGGTTTTTTATTTGAATTAGCTCCGACGCAAGATTTTGTGTGAGATCGTCTGGATATTTTTCAACTATTTCTTTTACTTTATTAAAAATTTCCACTTCTTGCGTTTTAAGGAGTGTTTTGGGATTTAAAATATCGAATTTTGAATGGACATTTGTGAATGCCTCACATCTATTTTTTAGTTGTACTAAAATAGTATCTAGGCAACTGTTGAATACTAAAATTCTTAAACGATTTTTAGGGTCTTCCATTGGTTCATCAACCGCCATTTCATCAAAAAACTTTTTAGTAGTTCGAATTCTTTTGACTGTAAATTGTGGCTCAATACCCCATTCATTTGCTATTGTTATTGAAGTCTCAAAAATATTTTCAAAATTATTTCTCAAATTCCCTAATTGATCTGAAACATTTGCTATTAAATTTGTGGCTTGTCCAATATCTATATCACTTTTTTGCAAACATTTTGAAAGTAAATTGACATTTTCAAATATTTTTCCTTGAAATGTTAATAAAAATATAAATTCAAAATTTTCTATTTTATTTTGTAAGACCTTTGCCTATCAGATTTTTCCTTTGCTATTATAGTTAGATTCGACAAACATTTAACGACGGCTAAATAGTTACCTTTTAATGAAATTATAGATTCGGCCCTGGATGACCATCTGGTGGGATATAGTTTTTTTAAAATGGATCCCACAGTTTTACTGTTTTTTATTTCAGTATTTAAGGCTTGCCAACGAGGCAGACTTTCGCTAAAAAAACATAAAGTGACTGAATGGTGTCAAAGAAATTTCTTATCTGGGAAATATTAATTACAGAATCATTAATAATTGAATTTAAGCAGTGAGCAACACAATGAATGTAATCCGCATTTGGCTGATGATTCTTAATTAGAGCTTGTAGTCCCGCATATTTACCTGAAAAGTAAAAAAATACACACTAAGGAAAGCTAGCCATTACCTAATATTTCTAAATTCTACAAAGTGGTACCTAAATAATGCACGATTTGCACGATTTGCAATATTTGCATTTTTTTTTGCTTTTGATAACGGATATGCTGGCAAACCAATTTTATTGACCAAATATTTTAGATATTTACATATTTGTAAGTGTAAGCGTATAAATCATACATTGAGAATTTTTCGGGGGTATTTAGTGGATGTTTATGCCCTAAGGGATACACTTTGCTAATGGGGATGATTAGCCACCTGAGGGCATAAACATTTATTAAATGTCATACTACTTATTGCATGCACAATGACCTGTGTAAATTATCCTTCGGGTAAGGTCCTAAAGGTCGATGGGGGCCGATTTGTACAAGTTCTTTTTTGGTATTTTCATCCAATTCGGTATTTAAAAACAAAGCTATATCACTAGAAAATGCTGATGTTGTATGTTCTGAGTCAGGCTCTTCATTTTCTGATTCTGATGAGTAATTTGTATCAGTTATGTTATATATTTGTATGCAAGGGCATTCTTCGCCTAGTTGATTATTTTCTTCGGAAATTTTCGATCCTATCGTACTTGCCGAAGTACATGGTTGAACTTCAGAAATATTTTTTTTTAGAAAAAAACTATCAATTTTGACCAGTTTTTTTTCTCTTCTTCCTTTATTTCATTCAGTTTTCTTTTCTGTGATCCACTTAAATATTTTCGTAAACCACTCATAATAATAATAGTATCAAAGTATAACAGAATGAACTAAAAAACACCACTTTTATAGTTTACTCTAATCTCGACTCTAGTAGACATTATCCGAATACCAATAACAATAGATCACGGCGACGGCATCGGCAGTCTGGGATTCCCAGAAATAATTTGATCTTCATAGATACGCGACTATTACACGTCGCGTCACTGTAACGTTGCCACTTATTTTTGTCGTTTTGGATTCTACGTTCGACTACGTTGTCGTGTTGTCGAATTTTACCATAAAATAGGTACTGATAAGGCAAAATATATTTAATTTGATTTTGGAAAATTATGAGGTATAGACATATTTCGCCGCTACAAAATTAATAGTTATTACTATGTAAAAAGCTTGCTGGAGGTAGTCGAGGTCGAGGCTGAGCAGGGGCCCCTTGGATTCCCGGGGCCCCCCCGCATTGCGGGCCCTTTCTGCACGCCACTGCGGACCGCATACAAATGACAATTCTCACTTAAATTGTACAGGGTCGCCTTCCATTTATGGTTAATTTTCTTAATTTTCTCGAAAACAGAAGCATTTAGACCACCAATTGCTCATTTTCGAGCCCTCTATCACCCTTTTGAAGGAACGCACTTATTTCAAAAACACCCTGTACAGTGCCTTCGAAAAAACGGGACACATTGTATACGTCATTCCGAATTAAATAGACAACGAACTTCGAANGTCTGTTGAGTTTGATAAAGAAATATTAACTAATACCGGAGCTACAGGAAAAAATAGTTTATTATTTTTAAATTTCAACGCCCTGTATCTCGAAAATGAGCCGCTTTAGGACATATGTTTATTAAGTCAACTGCACTTATTTTTGGATTTTTTACATAGCATATCCGTTTGTAACACCTATTCCTTAACACCCTGTATATATATTATAGATATTGTCCAAGTTATTTCTGAAGAAGGGCGATATGTCTCTCGAAATGGGTATTTTAGGAACCTAACAAAGAATTGCTTATCAATTTCTTTCTTTTTAAACAGCTAATGTTAATTTCGAAAGAATAGCTCCTTTCAAATGCCTGATGGGGGCGCCTATGGACAAATTTTAATACAAACCACTGTCAAAATTCCACATGAGGCTGAAAACCATTGTTATTTAATACCTGAACCTGAACCTGAATACGTGAGGGGGGTGTAATAATTGTTCCCGTAGTACACGCCACACGATGTTGTTAGATACACCCACTTCTTTGCCAATGTCGCGACTACTGCGCCTCGGATCTTCCTCAACGAGGTTTATGATGTTTTCTTTGTTGTCGAAAACATCTTGCGACCTTTCCCGTCCACGACTTCACGCATGTAGCGAGTACGAAGTATTCTGGCCGTGCACGTGCACAAGATGCACAGAGTCGACTTCCATTTATGGTTATTTTTCTTAATTTTCTCGAAAACTGTATTTAGTCCATCAGTTGCTTAATAAAAGTAGTTCATTTTAATGCCCTCTACCACCATTTTCAAAGAACGCACTTATTTCAAAAACACCCTGTACAGTGCCTTCGAAAAAACGGGACACATTGTATACGTCATTCCGAATTAAATAGACAACGAACTTCGAAAACTCGGCACGTTATTGTTCGTCACCCTGTCACATTAATCAGGACAACGAAATCAACGACCTTCTCGTTTAACCCTTACATACCCATTGCCTCCGCTTGTAAGACCCACTAAATCCCCAACACGATTCCGGCATTTAAACCGACCGTTTCCTTCCAGATCTGGCCGTGGGATTAATCAACGTGTCCACCGACATCGCCTGGAGGATTACAGTGGCCTGGCACGCGGGGAACGTCCTCTGCAAGATCATCCGGTTCTTGCAAGCGGTGGTGACGTACTCCTCCACCTACGTGCTGGTGGCGCTGTCCATCGACAGATACGACGCAATTACTCACCCCATGAACTTCTCCGGAAGCTGTAAGTAAGAATATGACGTCTATTCTTTATTCAAAGTGACATTTGATTGTATTTTAGAAGAGGGCGTAGCACTTTTTGTAACTAAAGTGAGGAAAAGAGTGTAAATCTTCATGATCAACCGCGAAAGACGTGATTTTTCTTTCATAATTTTCTTTTTCGAAAACTGTCATTAAAAGTCGACATTTTCGTTAAATTTCCAGTTGACAAATGAGTTTTTTTTTGTCATCTAGCTGTAAAATATTTCTATGTTTCAAAACGCCAATTCTTTAGAGTAATTCATTTCACAATTATTACTTTAGCTTTTTTATTAAACCTTAAGTGAATCGAAAATTTTCCAGATTATCCTTTGACAGAAGCCTACTACGTTATTTTACATATAAGCTATTTGTAAACTTCGCATTTTTTCATAGAAATGAGATTTCATGAAAAACTAATGAATTTTGGTATAGGAGCAGGTATAGCAAAGTTGTAGAGAATTTAATTCTGCATCTCATGGTATGAAAATATACAGGGCGTTGCATTTAAAAAAATCGAGATTTTTCAATTTTTCAATTGGCAATTTTGACATGATATTTTGGTCACCCTGTATAACGCAGGCCAGTTTTTGGAGCATGATTCGGAAGAGTCATCCTTACTAAACATCTGATAAAAAAATGGGCTTAGTAGCTATTAGTATAACCTGTCAGTATCAGAAAATGTAAGCAACCAATATCGACTAGAAAAACCTTTCAAGCGAGATATCTCAAAAACTGTGAATATTTGAATAGAACTATTCTACACAAAGTACCCTTTATTTTTGATGTAGAATCCGAAAAAAATATAAAAAATGTGTGTTTCCATTTAAAAAACCAAAGTTGGTGTCTGTCCAGGAAAAGTGGAACACCCTGTATAGTTGAATATATTTTTAATTTGTACATTCCGAGAAATGTGGCAACACAGTGAAAAGAAAAATCCATATATTCCTCATTTTAACATAGATATTGGACTTTCCCGCATTAGTGGGACACGCTGTATAATTCTAAAAATACTTTTTGAAACAACTAATTTTTATTTTTTACTGGGTTGCTATCGTTATGATAGTCACCGCGCCTAAATCGTTTTGATTCAAAAACGGTTCAAACGATTTCAAATATAAATTAAATCGTTGTACGTATATAATAAGACAATTGTCTTATTTTATAACAGTTTGAATGGATATTTTGCGTTCTCGATACAAAAATAACTATTTTGGTTGAAAATTTTATGCCTTTATTTTGTAACCAATCAAATAATGTTATTTGGCGACGGAAAACATATCCAGAAAATATTCTTGGTGGGTAGGTACCATAGACGAAATTACACTGAACATTTTTTGTCATTTAATATGACTTTTGTGACATATATTGAAATAATTTTTCTCCCAGATAGAAAAATATATGCGTCTTATGTTTAATTATTTTGGACAAATAAAATTAGCAATCTTATTAGAGGTCTTTTAATATCTCATGAGCCGTGAAATGCGCGAAAGGCGTGGCGTATCCCCATAATTTTTCTAATAAGCACGTTGTGAAAACATTGACTCAGAACTAGACCATGTGCATCATTACAAGTAGACATGAACTAAGGCGCTCGGGCATCAATAAAGTCAACTGGCGAACGTTCGTTATATATATTTTTATTGTTTAAATTAAAATAATAAAGAATAGGGCATTTTATTATGATATTTGTAATCAGATCAAAGGCTTGTTTACGCTAGAGCTCGAGAGAGACTGTGAATAATAGGTGTAATGTTTTTAGGACGTAGAATAATTTAGGCGACGGTCGGAATTATGTTTCTGCGCATATGAAGGTCAAAGCTCATAAGATTTTAAAACATCTCTAACTGCTAATAATGTTTTTAATAATATTACAAACATTTTCGTCTCGGGAAAGTTCCGAAGTTTCCGAACATGATTTAAGTACAAGTGATATTATAAGTAACTATTTTTTTTATACACGTGGCAATTCTTTTCATCGATTCATTACTTCTGGATAAAGCTTATATATTTCTTTTTAGACCCCTTTGGCGATAAAGATGATTAATCATGGTTTGTTTCTGCCTATGTCGGCATATCGCGAGTGCTTCGTTAATCTCAAGTTTCGTAAAACTTTAGACCTTCTATACGAAAATAAATTAACTTAAAAAGTTGAAAATCAACAACTGCAGTTACCCTTGAGAATTAAAATGGTTTTTATGGGGTTGTACATTTAAGAAAAAGTTATAGAACTTTTCTAAACATAATATTTTTTTCTAGCAAGCTTTCGTGATTCTAGAACCTGTCGTTGCATTTTTTATATTTAAAGTGAAGGAAAGGGTGTGCGTCTTCACAATCAACTAGGTAACACATGATTTTCTTTCAAAGTTTTCTGTTTGGTTGATTATTATTTTTTTGATACACGTGGTAATTTTTTTCGTTGATTAGATGCTTCTGGATAAAGCTTAAATGTTTCCTTTTAGGCTCCTTTGGCGATAAGGATGATTAATTGTGGTTTATTTTTGCTAACGTCAACAGATCGCGATCGCCTCGTCAATCTAAAGTCACGAAAAACTGTATCCCAGAATTTTCATAAGAAAATTAAATAACTTTAGAAATAACGTGATGGTAGAGGAGATTAGGGATATAACCTTTAAATCAACAACCGCAGTAACTCCTAATTATTAAAATTCTTGAGTTTGTAACTATATGATTGTGAACATATTCAGATAAAAGGAGAAGATTAGAGACATCATCATCGTCATCATCAACATCATCATCATTATCATCATCACCATCGTCACCATCGTCACCATCATCAATTTATTTTTAATAAAATTATCTTCCTTGCTTTTCTCCTCTATCAAATCTGTCTTGACTTGAACTGACTTATAAGTATAAAATTACTCCAATATTAATTATTATGAAAACTTGAAATGTAAGTTAAATATAACGAGCGTTCAAATAAAAACGTGGTCGAAGTTGGCTCTGACACATTGGACGTAGGGAGTAGCTTATAGCGACCAACTTAACCTCATTTCTCAACGAGCTGTATAGCAGCTGTCAGTTTCAATAACGTTAATGACTATATAACTTTATTTTAAAGAATAATCGTGATAACAATAACAAACAATTAAAGGAGCTGCGGAAAGTGTCCCCCTCCTTGTTATAACAATAAATTAAAGCAGCTGCTGAAAGTGTCCCCCTCCTTGTTCCAAGCACTTTTCACACCTGTTCCTCAAAGAATTAAAGACATTTTCTAAGATGCTCGGGGTATTGTTAATTTCACGAATCTTGTCTATAAGTCGAGCCTGCAGATGGTTTAAATCAGGAATAGGCAGTTCAAAAATAGTGTTTTTAAGGTAAGGCCACAAAAAGAAATCACACGGCGTAATATCACATGACCTCGGTGGAAATTCATGTTCAGCATTGAGACTTATTAGTCGATTTTGGAAAACTTCCCTCAACATATTCATCGTCTCGCCTGCCGTATGTGCCCTTGCGCCATCTTGTTGAAAGTAAAAGTTTGTAATTTCGTTTTCTTCCAGCTGGTTAACAAAAGGAGCGATAATTTCTTCTCTATACCTTTGCGCAGTAAGAGTACCATTAAAAAAAATAGGTCCATAAATCCTCCTTCGATTGAGAGCACACCAAACTCCAATTTTTTGAGCGTGTAGAGGGCCCTCGACAAAAAAGTTATCTGGTTTTTCAGAAGACCACATTCTCATATTCTGTGAGTTTACGTAACCACTTAAATGAAACCAGGCTTCATCAGAAAAAAAGGTGATATTATGAAGTTCACCGTAGTTGTTTAAAAACCATTCACAAAATACAGCCCGTCGCGGAAAATCAACTTCATGAAGTTCTTGCTGACAAGTTAAACGATAGGAGAACAAACGCAAATCTTTTTTTAACACTGTGTGGCAGGTACCGACTGATACTCCCACCATTTGTGATAAAACACGTACAGAAGTTCTTGGCGCATTTTCCATTATTTGTTGGACATTTTCTTTTAATTCTTCAGTCCGCTTTTTAGGTCGGCCGCTTCCTTCTTTTCTTGTTACACTGCCCGTTTCACGAAAAACATTAACACAACGCTGAACTGCACTTTGAAAAATTTTGTACTCAACAACGCCGGGAAATTGATTTTGAAATTCTATGAAACATTCCTCAATAGAATACTTCCATATTCCATCAATCTTGCGTCCATTTCTAAAGTAGGACTCTATGATAAACACTTTTTGTTCTTGAGAAAACACCATTTTAAACGCTTTTTAAAACGAAAATATTCAAATTGATAGCGGCGATATAGCGCTTTGACAGATGACGTTTAAGTTCATTTGCTATACGCTACGCCCTACGTCCAAATTTTCAGAACCAACTTGACCACGTTTTTATTTGAACGCTCGTTACAACTAATGTTAATGAGGCAATGCAGCGTTTTATGGATCAAAATTTTCGCTCCTACGAATATTTCAAACAATTCTTGTAAAATAAATAAGCAGGAATATTAAAAGAAATCTAGAAAAGAATTATTAATAAGCCATGTTACCAAAATAACTTTGACTTCAACTGGGGGCAGAAACTTTGTAGGATCCTGAAGTTTTCGGCTTTTCAACGAAACTTAATAAGCTATCCATGATGTCTTCTTTATCAGCTTTTAAATATACCATCAATAGACTAACGAATACATTTTTTTCACGAACATTTTGTACATTAGTTTTTTATTTCAATTAGGGGAAATCTTTATTATTAAGAGAAGCTAGAGTAAATTTTTTAATTACAATATTTAGTTGCCTGTAAAGTATTCGAAGGAAAACGAAAATAGTAGCATTTTCTGCGATCCATTTGGTGACTTCCCATCTACTGTTTGATTCATTTCTTTGGAAGACTAAAAGGATTTTATGTTTGTCATCCTACTTTTATTGCCACTTCCGTGAGTATTTACAATTTGTCGAAAGCGACAGTAAAATGTTTGCTCCTATTAATATACTACTTAGGAATCGGTAGCCTGAAGTTATCAGATACGTTCCACCCTTAAAAGCTTCCAAACAGAAGATGTAATTTCAGATAACTGGACGAAAATCGAGAACTACTTACAAAAGTTTTGCGTCAACAGGAACAACTTTTTTATTAGTTCGATAAAGTTTCGCATGGAAGAAAAAACAAATATACTCTATAAAATGGTCGACTTTGGTATAAACAGAACCTGATGGTAATACTAATGATGCTCACGATGATGGTGATAAACATATTAATTTAAATTAAATTTCGAACTCCTTCATGTTCTTAATTCAGTTATTTGTGCGTTAGAAGGCGCGAACTATTACTATTTTATAGATCGCATAGTTTCCTTGAAAAAAAGTTGTGTTAAACATTTCCATCGGGCTGCAGAATTCTATTCGATACGGCTCTGTACAGGGATGTGATGAGCAGTCATCTGTACATTCAATCTTCATCTGCGCGTCCACGAGAGTCGGTTTCCCCTATTATGTTTAACTTTTACGGTCGCTACCCGGCACAACGACATGCTGAAAAATTCCATTACGCCCACCACGGAAAAGGAAAATGAGATTCTCTCTGACCATTTAAACGGTTATTTTTCGGTGTAAAATTTTATTTCAATTCCGCATAATTTATGAAAACCATGAAGTTTTTAATTTAATACCGCAGCGATGTTTTAATTAATGTTTTCTCGAGACGCCGTAAAGCCGGTTGGCTGGTTGCATTTCTCTTCTTCAGAGTGACTATATTTTTTTCGGTTTAAGATATATTAACGACAATAGTGATTTATAATTTACCCTCAGGCTACTTCATGACTTGCAGGTACATTTGTATCATATTTTATTTGATGAAATTTAAAAATACAATGTTTAAGTAAATACAGAAATAATGAAAAAGTCTCCTTTCTCCTACCCTTTTTGTCCTACATTCTCCGATGTAGCTGGGAGATTCCTTTCGCCGTGGCGGCTCGACGTACGAAAATTCGAAACATCGGCGATTTTCGGAGCATGCAGAAATTTCGAAAGGTCCGCGAATTTTTATATAGCTCTGGAATGTCGTCTGGTGTTCACGGCACTCCTCGGCTGGGTTGCCCATGATGCAGCGAGGGTCTCTGATAGGAGACCGATCGCGTCGTTATCGGAACCACGATTGGCGGATTCAAAACATCTTCGGAATTTCGTATTTGTTGTGTTTGGATCCATCTTTTTCTTTGCAGGGTGGCTACGAATGTTGCAGTGGTCTGCTATGTACATATTTGTATTGAAAATATCGGTTTCGAGCGTTTTAGTAGCTGGTTTTGACACATAGGCGATTTTAGACGACGCTACCAGTATCTAGGATATCTACACTGCCGCAATAAGCGGTCTGGCTTGTGGTAAACATTTAATTGGACACCGACTGTAATCAAAATGTATCATAAGAGTTTTTGTTCCCCACTAAACATAAAATAAGCAAAATATTAAGCAAAAAATTATTCGATCGATCATTAATAATCACTTTTAAAAAACTGACGACTGAATATCGATGACAATGACCAACAAGAACAACAGGAAATAAATCAATATGTTGCTATATCATTAGACTAGAATATTGTCATGTAAAATATTGTTGTTTGCATATTTACCTTTTCTTTATTTCAGGGAAACGGGCCAGAGCGCTGGTGGTAATTGCGTGGATGCTCAGTGTGCTCTTTGCGACGCCTACTATTTTTCTTTTCGAAGAAAAACCCATCGAGGGTAAGTGAACAGTATGAGCGACTAAGGTTTTAAATAATAAGGGATGAAACGAAGTATGCACGCGTAATAATTTGAACATAAATATTTTATCTATATTAATCCTGAGATATTCCAGAGATTCCAAGTCTAATACAATAAGGGGATAGTTTTGTAATATAGGAAATATTTCGGGAATTTATATTAAGTTTATATATTCTAGGCTAGACAACATTTTTTTTTGTACTCTCTCAATGAGAGTTCCGAAAACATGGATTCCATTATTTCATACTGAAAATACTGTGCGACCAAAAATTTTATGAAAGTGTATCAAAATGCTAGAATATTGTTAAGATGTGGAATTTGTCCAATCAAAAATACTTATAAATCCAAACCAGGCAAACCAACTCGTATCAAAAATGTATCATAAATGATCCTGATTTTTTCGNTCTGTGAGTCACTTTTCGCTAAAATTGATGGTTTTCCCTGCAAAGTGAAAAAACTGTTTTCCTCACTTATTTGTTTAAATAGAAAAGTTAGCTAATAAAAGTTTTTGACTCACGAGATGAGATGTCTTGTATTATGTTCCTTTAGACAATTTTACAATAATCTCGCGGATAGGACCTTTTTCGTGTAAAAATTTTATTTGCTTGGTCTACAGTCATTTATTGTGCGGACGTATCTAAACAATTTTAGACCAGCGAAATATTTTAGAGCAGAACCAACAGTAAACTCGCCTTTTCTTGTACACCTATGTGCCTGGATGTCTGGAATTGTAGATAGTTACAGAATAAGCTGTAATATGAAACTGTAAAATGTTTAGCTGAAGCAGCAATTTATGTTCGTGTTGTCTTCAGGTTTCTGCACATGTATAGAGAATTCTCAGCTACATACCACCGACTGTAAAAGTTAATACTCCCAGTTCTTTCCAGAACCGAAGCTGACGCCATATTTATGGCAGTTTTATGAACTTTTCGCGTTTCTTTCTAATACATCCTCCATTATTTACGACTTCACCCTTAAACCCCATTATTTTCTTATGGGTGTTTTATATGTGCGCGGCCCTAGTTTTGGAAGATAAATCAGTGATTTATAGCCGAAGGGCTAACAGATTTTTATTGTTTAATATGGACAAAGTTTTTCATACCGATTGTGATGAATTGGCCGACGGCCTGTTATCCCAGTTGGGAACTTTTCCGAACGTATGTGGATTAGTTTTGGACTACATAATTCAAACCGGGCGGACTTTGTTGTAACTTCGAAGAGACAGCCGATCTAGGGGCAAGCGACAAAAAAGTTTAACGGAAAAAAATATGTTCCCTGAGGCTGATCTGGACCTATTTTAGATAGTTGAATGAAAGGAGGAATAGTTTATTTTTTAACTTTAAGATGATGTCGGAGTATCTTATCGTTTCTTTATAGAGGGCGCTCATAAATGATTACAAGCCACATAATCAGTCACTATTTTTTTAGGACAGTAATTTTATTTCTTTCGGTTTGACAATTAAATTTCGGTAAAATTAGAAATTATTAAAACCGTAAGATCTACATTACATTAAAACACAACTTTCTGTTTCACCGACTACTGATTGATCTAATTTTTCGTGACCCATTAATACTGAGCTATCTTGAAAAAAACACTTTATAATTACTGTCACTTATTATTATTATACAGGGCGATTTGCAAATGGTGACCAAAAATGAAACCTCGTATTCTTTAGTGAATTTTAAGGGGTCTTTCCTATAAATTTTTTATCTAGGACGCTTCATTAAAAAGATACAGGGTGTTAATCTTAAAAAAATATTTTTAATTTTTTGAAATAATTTAAAAACTAGTAAGTGAAATATTTATGAAAACATTGTCCAAAATCTGAGAGCTTTTCCTAAAATTTACATGTTCCAGTTGTGGAGATACAGGGTATCAGTGGCATATTTTTCTAAATAAAATAGTACGGTACTGCTTTACGGTAACAACCATGATATTTTCGGATTCGCCTTTAAATTTTTTACAAATTACTACCCTCTTGTGTTTTTCTAAAAAAGCCTTGATTTTCGAGTAAAACTTAAAAAACCAACTGAGGAGTTTGTAAAAATAACAGAATTTGTTTTTTAATGGCAGATAGATAATATTGGATATCTGACCGTAGTTTTCTATTAGGATCAACTTTTCTCAATAACGACTGTCTATATTGTTAAAAATAAAGGTACTTTACTCTTGAGCAAAATTTACATTTTTGGAGAAACTTTGTACACGACTGTAAAAAATTGAAATCTGATTAGGTACTTCATTTTGGGTTTTAGGTCATGCAGAACTTTTTATCAAGAATAACTTTTTTCATAAAACCAATAATAAAAAAGTATCCCATATGGTGCCGACTTAATTGGACACACTGTATATTGAATAAGTATGTACTGAATCTAAATAAAAAGGTAATAAACTTTTTGCTAAGGCAGATGTGTTTCTTGAATATTTTTTTCAATTATAGTAGTAAAATGAGTGATAGTGAGTTTTTACACTTTTCCTAAACGATTTGCCTGAAAATATACTGTCATTGAAGCTAAAAATCAGCTGTAACCTCCGAATTCTTTGAAGCTGCATGGATTTGCATGAAAATTTAGAATAAGGCTCATCTTAGGCTCAAGTTCCAAAGTGATATAAGCCCGATTGACGCTTTTTGTTTTTTAGGGGGAAAAACTACCTCTAAGTGAAAAAAATTAAAAAATATAAGTTTTAAGCATTTTATTGATAAAAATCTTGTTCAAGCACAAAGATTAAATAATGTTCCATGTTCTCGAACATGTTTTATGATATATTTGATCTTTTCGACCCTTTATTTAACCCTTAAAAACTACCCCTATGCAAAAAATAATGATAAAAAATTACTTTTTAAAGATTTGGAATGATTAAATCGTGCAATTATTTAAAATAAAAGTTACCTTATAGCTAATAAAAGAATTTTTCCCTTTCAACCCCTAAAAACCACCCCTGTATTGACAAAAATGATAAAAAATTACTTTTTAAAAGCTTGGAATGCTTTAACGGTGCAATTATTTAAAATAAAAATTCCCTCATTGCTTATGAAAGAATTTGTATCTCATAACACTTTTCAACCCTTATAAATCACCCCTGTGCTAAAAAAATGATAAAAAATTACGTTTTAAATCTTGGAATGCTATAATTGTGCAATAATTTAAAATAAAAATTCCCTTATATTGTTTATGAAAGAATATTTTACTTTTGCCATTTTCAACTCTTATAAACTACCCTTTTACCAATATTAATGTAAAATATTTTTATTATAATCGATTTTTAAATATAATCAATCATAAAAAAAATTGCTACGCTGCATATAAATAATCACACTAAATTTTTTTACTTATTTTATTTGTATAATATAATATATAATATATAAAAATGAGAAAGCCTATTTTGCTCCGAAAAAATGTCATTGGTTTTTTTACCATAACTCGGTTAATTTTGAAGCTATAGTATCCTACAAAAAAGCATTTTAAAGATAATTTCAAGAGCTGTAAGATCGTTTGCATATAAAACCTTTTAAGTCCTTCGTTTTTTAAAGGGAAAGGATCGAAGGGCTCGAGACAGGTCGTTTTTTCACTAAAATGGATACTTCAAGCGGCGATATCTCCTTTATTTTTTATGCTATAGGAAAAAAAAAAGCAAAATATTTGTTGAAAAAAAAGCTACATTTTTGTTGTCTATCATTTTTTACGTATCTTTCATAGTTTCAGAGTTATTATATAAATAAGGCAATTTTTTTTGAATAATGAAAAATACGTTTTCAACTTTTACCGTACATTATTAAAAAAATACGCATTCTAAACCGGTCTAACTTCAGGATCGTATGAAAAACACTAAAACAAAACTAATTGTAAAGGGTCTACGATTAATTTTAATTCTGATGGAAATGGTACAGCGTTTACTGCTCATTTTTCCTTAAAAAATATGAGCAACCCATCTGTTTTTGACGATAACTCCTTCAATTTTGCTCTAATTAACTTTTATAAGTGCTCATTTTGAAGGTCTTTTTGAGTACTACAAAAAACTCCAGGAGCGTTATACACGTAAAATTAATCCTTTTTCCGTTATTTGACGTTGAATACATCGATTCGAGTATTCCCCCCAAAACAAGTCCCCTTCCACTAACCATATTTCGCTTTGTATAGGACGTACAACACTTTTTAAAAAACGATTTTCTTTGTTTATTTATAAGCTACATTTTTGTTCATTACACTTTTTTTAATAAAATGCGTAGTTTTTGAGTTATTCGCGAAAAATACTTTGAAAAAGTGTTTTTTTTTTCACTCAAAATTCCAAGTTTTCAATCGTGAATAACTAAAAAACTATTGATTTCTCGAAAAAATTCTTCGAATATTTTTTGCTCAAAATTTGATTCTCTATCGATTTCCAGCGTTATTTTTGAAAAAAAATTCCACCCCCGAGAAGGGGTGTCAACCCCCAACAGGGTGAAAGCGTCAATCGGCGCTATGTCACTAATGTTCATTGACCTTTTCTCTAACAATCTGCCAAATTTCAAGTCGATTGGTTCAGTTTCAAAGAATTTGGAGGTGAAAAGTTTCCATGATATTACTACAGATTTTAATACTCTTTTTGCTGATCGACATGACACTTCCGTAGTGATCTTATTTGAAGTAGATGAACTCTATATTTTTACTAACTACATTTATCCAGAGTTTAGTAAAATGGTACAAAATATGGATTAATAGTTAATTTAACAAACATTTAATATATCAAATTTCTTTACTCGTGGGATTTCTCTTCAATTTTCATTTAATTTTCGTTTTGAAATTAAAGTTACAGTTTTTCCGGAAAATAGTTATTGAAATGTATTGTAAAATTTTGACACCTTTTGCACCAGAAGAAGTTAGTAATTACTGTTATTAGCTTGTTTGATTTTCGTTGATCCTGTTAAATAAAATCAATACATATTTTTTTGACTTCAAAAATTATTATAACAAAACAGGTCTGTCATTTACTATACCTGAATCCTCCCAGAAAAAATCTAATTTATGAAAAAAAATACTGTCACTTATTAATGTTATACAGACTAGAACATTGGTTTATGCATGATGGAGCACCCCCTCAATTTAAAAATATTGTTAGACTTTTTAAACCACCAATATCCAAACAATTGAATTGAAAGCTCACAACTTTGTCCTCCACGATCACCAGACCTCAACAAATTTGACTTCTTTCTTTGGAGAACTTTAAAAGAATTTGTGTATTTCTCGCCAGTTGCGTCTCGAGCAGAGAGAACTTTAAAATCTATCAGAACCACTTGAGAACGCAACAAAATATGAAAAAGGCGTTTCAAAATGCATAAAAATTCTTCAAATTCGCTGTTAAATACATTAAAATGGTCCGAAATATCATCAAAATATTTAACAAAAAGGTAGAAGAGTATCAGAAGTAGAGTTAGATCAGCCTATTGGACTCCCGTTACAGTTTGCCCATTCGTTGCAAAGCACCCTGCATAGTTACCTTTAAAAATCAGTTTAAGAAATAATTCGCTTGCGGTATTCTTTCCAGACATCCCCCAGTGCTGGATAGACCTAAAGCAGTGGCAGTGGAAGGTCTACATGACCTTGGTGGCTCTGGCGCTGTTCGTCGTCCCCGCGCTCATCATCAGCGCTTGCTACGCAGTTATAGTTTGCACGATCTGGTCCAAGAGCAAATTGCTGATCCCCGTGGGACACATCCCGATCCGGCAGAGTGAGTGAATTCTATTAGCTAGTCTGGGGTGAGCGCGAAATTAATTCATAATCCCGATTTGCCCCGAAAAATACTTCGGAAAGTAGATTGGAGAGTCCTTGTAATCCTGAAATAGCGTGTACCAAATTTTAATAGTATAATTTCTGTCAGCCTTGTTACAGTATTTAAAATAAGGTTGTTTACGAAATTGGAGATTTGTTTTTTATGGTAATTAAGAAATTAATTATGGAAGGAAGAAGATTTTTTTTTTTTCATCATTTAGTTCTATACTGCAAATTAGAGTTACTTTAAAAATTAATTTCCAAGTTTGTAAACACACTTAAGAATTTATAATTCGAACTTTAAAGGTTGAATTAACATCTAAATAAATGAATTCTGAGAGTAGTTATTAGAATGCTTGTGCTACAAAGAGCTTTAAAAATGTTTCTTTTGCTACTGTTGCCAATTTCTTAAACTGAAAGATTTTATTAATATCTTTCTGTTTGGTCTGTAGGTGAGGACCACAGAGGCAGGCCACCCAGGAGTTACCACGAAGACCATGACAGCCGTCGTGCCAGCTCGAGGGGAATCATTCCAAGAGCCAAAATAAAGACTGTTAAGATGACTTTTGTCATTGTATTTAGTAAGTTTACAGAAAAGTTTAAAGTAACGACACTGTCAGTCTGAAATCATTGCAATTTGATTGTCTATTCACACGTACTGATACACTTCAATATCGAAACAATACGACTTTCTTAGAATCTCAATCGACATTAGTTGCATCTTAGATTGTTGGAAATTACCGAAGTTTTAAATAGAGTAGAAATATTTGGCCATTAGGTTCAGTTTTGTAGAAATTTGGAAGAGGCAGATATAAGAAAGTTTGTGTATTTTATCACTTCATCAATGTTAAATACAAGGAAGACGTATGTAAATGATCTATCTATATAATAAAACCAAATCATTTTAAATCTCGACATCATCTATTTAATTATCAATCTACAAAATCGTACGGTGTATACGCACTAAGCTTTAATGGATATACGGAACTTCACGGAAACCATACAACCATCTAATCACCATGGATTTAACAATGCTAAATCTTACCATACAACATAAGCTGCTTCTCAGTTGCCCAGAAACTGCCTCTAAATTGTTCTACTGCTCTATTTTTTACATAATCCAAACTTAAACAATTGGAAACCTCTGAATTAAACACAAAAATATTTAAATACTTCTCAAATGCTTGTTTTTATTATTGTGAGTCGAAAGTCAGAGCCAAATACAAAGTTTACTTAATCAAGCACAACGGCATAAATTACCGCAATGAAATAAACATGGCAGTAAAGAACCTTCTTGAAACATATTCAGAAATCTTAACATCCTATTTTGTGGGAATCCAGTTAATTGGAAAGCAAAAAGCCAATCTGGTGTGTTCCTCAAGTGCTTCAGAAGTACATTTTTTTAATTTGGAAAGTACGAGGTGTATAAGGACCATGGAAATAACGTCTTTAAAATTAGCAAATAACTGATACAATAGCGAAATTTTGCAAAATCGTTTTATTTTTTTTCTGTCTTTATTTGAAAACGAATTTTAGAATAAATTGCATATTTACATTGCCACTTTTTTCGCTCTATCCGATGGGGTCGACATTTCTGCAATCCGACGTTTCGTCTTCGAGGGGCCATCATCTGGTTAATTTTTTTAAATACGTCGCTGCTATTTTTATAACAAAATCTAGTCATTTTTAATTCTGAATTAAGTGATATTACTTTTGTAATCGCTTAAAAAGGTTTTTAGCTTGTTTTAGCTATTATTTAAAATTTTTCCTGACTACGGCTCTCAACGCTTTCAAAATATCTATTGGAGAAAGTCATAACAGTATAAAAGTCAATACACCACAAAATATCCAACAATTTTTTTAATCAATAATTTAAAAAAATAATACGAATTTATGAAATGTTTTATTATGATGTCTAATTAGATATTTTGTGCTGTATTGACTTCTATACTGTTATGACTTCATCCAATAGATATTTTGAAAGCGTTCAGTGCCGTACTCAGGAAAAATTTTAAATTATAGCTAAAACAAGCTAAAAACTTTTTAAGCAATTACAATAGTAATATCCTCTAATTCAGAATTAAAAATGACTAGATTTGACGCAGCGACGTATTTAAAGAAATTAACCGTGATGGCGCCTCGAAGACGAAACGTCGGATTGCAAAAATGTTGACGCCATTGGATAGAGCGAAAAAGTGGCATTGTAAATATGCAATTTATTTTAAAATTCGTTTTCAACTAAAGCTAGAAAAAAAATAAAACGAACTATCTAAATGGCATATTGTTAGGCATAAAAAACTCAACTTTTTTCTGATTTGAGCGACCTCGTATCTTTTATCGTTTCCTAGATCCTAATGCTATCTGATCCTTACCTTGGACACACTGTATAGCTTAGGAAATGTAAAATTATATAAATTATTCTAGCAATGAATTTATAAAACATAAAATTAGTATAAAATACAGAAAAATAAATCATTCTAAAATACAGAATTTATATTCAATTTTAATATTCCAAAATTATTTTTAAAAAGTTATTACATTAAATTTTTTTTAACTATGGACAAACCGCTGATCTAAATTTTGTTAATTAATGCCCATTTTGCATCTAATGCTCTTAAATTTCTGAATAATGACCTTTAATATTGTCAAATGTCCATTGAATAGATATTGGCTATATCATCTTTTGTTGCTGCTGCAGTCTTTAACTATACAATAAGAAGTGTGACTCATAATTTTGCGTTGCCAAAAAAGGTAATAGAATATTGGAAATAATAAATAGAGAGAACCATAAAATCAACATCTCGAAAGCACCTCGCACTGTCTTTATGAAAATGTGGATTTGGTCAAATTGGCTGAAATTGTGGTAAGTTGTTGGTTTTGTGTTACTGACCAAAAGTCTCCATAGTACTTGGGTCCGAAAATCAACTCTTTCCTACTTATAGCAGTCTAAGTCAGTTCTGCTGATGTTGAACTGCAAAGTATCATGTGTAGAATATTACAATAAAAACAGTAACTTTTGTGAAATGATTATGGAAAAAATGAACATTTTTTGACATGTACCAAATACCAAACAGTACCACAAAACCAACAACTTTCCACAATTTCAGTCAATTTGACCGAGCCCACATTTTCATAAAGTCAGTGCGGGGTCCTTTAACAACTGACATTTTCCGAACGATACTTTCTTATCATTTTTATCGACATCAATGTTTGAATACATCTGAAACTACAGATGGTGCCATCTTCGAAAAAGTAGGGCCGCTTCTGACCTGGTTCCGATCTTTTCTCTCCTTAATTTTGTCACAAATATTTACAGGGTATTCAACTTACTTGCACTTTTGCATCCTTTATTATCTGACCTGATAGTAAATACAAATGAAGAAGTTACGGTGATGTGCAAAGTTACAATTAATCATTATTTTACTGGGTTAGAAACCGCTTTGGTATATTTGATCCAGCAATGTTGCAACGTTTATCTTTCAGTCGCTATATTTAAAACTTTGACGATGATATTAAGCTTCACATTTGATTTCTGGGGGATGTATTTGTATGCAATGAACCGAATGAGACTGTCGCGTTAGATTAATACTGCCTGGTGATTTTCAGTGTTCGTAGTCTGTTGGAGCCCTTACATAGTATTCGATCTGTTGCAAGTCTATGGTCACATTCCAAAAACGCAGACGAACATCGCCATAGCAACCCTCATACAGAGTTTAGCACCGCTAAATTCAGCCGCTAATCCCGTTATATACTGCCTTTTTTCCACGCACGTATGCGGGAACCTGAGGTGAGTGACGTTTGACTAATTCGACACGTCGATTTGCCTTTTGGCCTGCATGACATGACATTAATTTGCATACGAAAATTGTATGTAAGTATTGTATTTTCTTTTCAAATTTACTTTTATAAAAATACAGTACTGTTTTATAGAATGAAAGCTTTGGTTGTCTGACACTGCGCATTTGTAGTAGAAATATGCGCTGTTAAATTAAACATGTTTAATTGTCAAGTAACAGTTAAGTTTGTTAAAAAAAATAGTAGAAACATAAAATGGGCTTTGCAGTGCAACCTTCTATAATAGTCTGCTTTCTCTGTTAGTTTCAATAACATATACAGGGTGTGCCATTTAACACACCCGCTGCCAATATCTCCGAAATGAAGAAACTTATTTTAGTTCCGGAAATTGGAGTTGTGAGGTCCCTCGAATAGCTTCAAATTGTAGTTAGAACTATTAATTCAAATCTTTCTGTATAGATGGCGTGACAATACTAAAAATTTTTTTGTTCCCTCGTAGAAATACAGTCCATCTGAAAGATCGTAAAATTTTGAGTAATTTTTGCAATGTAAAGTTTTTCCCTATATTTACTTGTTTCCGAGATATGTCGACTTCAATATGCAATGTGTGATATAACAGGGAAATCTATTATTTTATTTAAATCGCACTGAGACGAAATATTCTTTTAAAATATTGTTATAATGGTTTTATTCACATCAAATACTAACAAACAATAAATTATAAAAAAAAAACGAATAATCAACTACAGAAAAAAATGTACAATGGTAAATCTTATAATGGGAATTTTATCAAATGTTATTAAAAAATACAATCATAGGTGGCTCATGTCATTTGTTTAAAATAAAACAACGACAGATGACATATATTAGTTATCCAATAATTACAGTTTTATCAGTTTGCGTCTTTTAATTTAACTATACTAGTTATACGATTTATCATTGTACAAGTTTTTTCTGTAGTTGATCCTTTGTTTGTTTATAATTTATTGTTTGTTAGTTAGTATGTGGTGTGTATTAGAAAAAACAACTGAATAATGGAAATCATTAAATTAAATAATTTTTTTGAATGAAACACCCTATATATTAGTGCATACTTAGCTTCGTTAAATTTTTCTCTTTTCAAAAATATATATAATATGTTACTGTTTGATTCAGGACGTTTTGACATATTTCAGTTTAAAACTGTTTTTGAAAAAACAGGAGGGAAATTTATGTCTGACAGATCGCAGTGGCTATGGACGAGGCACGCGGAACAAACAAATGACTTTGACAGAAGTTTATTTATAATCATTAATTTATTTCCTATAACAAACTATTTTAACAATGAAATAATGTTTAGTGAGAACGAAAAATTTGAATTATAAAAATTCATATAAGAGGTAAAACTTTCGTATTAAAAACTTTTTTGTAATTTCAATAATAAACTCACAATATGTTGTCAGATTATAGTGACTAATCCTGTACAGAAGTCGATGTCTAAAAAAAGAACAGAAACAAAAAAGGTTATGCAGTCAAGAAAACTGAGACGTTTTTAAAAAGAAAAATTTAAATCCTTATTAATTTATTCTGTTTGCTCTTTTATTTGGTTGCCTCAAAGAGCAAATTCTAGACGGTTTTATAATATTGTGGGGTATGGAGCTCTTGGGATTTGTTTTTATTATTGGGCTTTGTTGTTTCATTTGTATAAAAAAAATTGAGACCATTTGGGGGAGGGGGGCGGCGGTGATCGACCCCCATAGCCCCCTTTGGATCCGCGCCTGTCCAAAGAGAAGCTATATACTTTCTAAGAAATTAACGCATTT